CATCTTTCAAAATCTCCTCTTGTTGTGTGGATGTGGATCAGCCATATCCCATAGTCATTTAATTATATATATGGACCTGACCATTAGAGCATTATAAAAGGCTGAAGAAATAGCGCTAAAATGTTGTGACGGTTTGAGTTACGCACGGTGAGATATTATAATTTATTGCAAAATAATAGTCAACTAATAGTAATTACATTTTTCTACTCATTGACACGATCACCATAGAAATACATTTTACATGCATGAAAGACAAATTCCAACAAAAACCTTTGTCAAATGTATATTACAATAGATAAGCGCGCGCACAGCTGTAGACACAATGATGTATGTAGATAACAAATATTTAATATTCGTTTATCTTGGGTTTCATATATATGTCATTCTGAATTAACATTTGTATTAGCTGTGATATCGACGTGCATTTAAAATACATGACCTAACGTTACAGCGTAAGTAGGGTGAATTCACCTAGATCTTTGCACATATATTGCGACGTGCTCGCATGTGCGTGTGTGTGCGCGTGAAAGAAATGTAAGCACGTCCTGCGTTACGGGTTAACATCCGTCACTTATGCTGACGGATCGACCATTGACCACTCTGGGTGGGAATGTTTGTTTGAGACAGTAAGTTTTCTTTCAGTTAATGCCTCAAAACAATATTATTCTCCATGAAGGAGAACCAAACATATTTTTATCACATTATTTCAGGCCATCCAGTATGTCAAGAGATCAGGTTTGATCTGGAAATTGTCTTTGTCAACCATATTAGGAATCAGATTTAAAAAAATATATATCCCCTCCTCCTCTACCCCATTATATCATATGGTTACTAAATAATTCGACCCGTGAAGATCCGGGTTAGAATAGGTCTTCAGCAACCCATGCTTGCCGTTAAAGGTGACTATGCTTGTCGTAAGAGGCGACTAACGGGGTCGAGTGGTCAGGCTTGGTTGATACATGTCATCGATCCCAATTGCGTGGATGGATGCTCATGATATCAATCACTGGTTTGTCTTGTCTAGACTCGGTGATTTACAGACTGTCGTCATATAGCTGGAATATTGCTGAGTGCGGCGTTAAACAACAAACAAACAAACTAAATAATTCACGATGGAGTTATGCCAAACTGTATCCTTAAGATATTTACATTACCACGTTGGTCAATATATCCTGCAAACCAAGCGACATTGTATTGTTAAAGTTATAATAATCATTATAAAAACCGTCAAGCTATAATGAAAACAATAGACTCTGAAAACTGAAACCAGACATGAAATATGATCAACTTCAAATCCATTCGATATGCATATTCCAAACGATTGCATTTGCAACATGTAACCTAATATGTATGATACAGCATATATTAGAATGATTAATAAGAGTTGTATTATTCTATTCAAAAACAAATGGGACATTAAATATCCATCTGTCACGTTTTGGCCCTAATACACCACATACAAATCGCTTGAGGGAACTATACCTTGTGTTTAATTGCGTATAGTGAGTATTGAAACCCAGAGTTTGAACTCTGAACGTACATTCATTTTAGTATACTTATGAACAGAAATAAAGCAACGTGCAAAAGTCAAGCATTTTTTTAAAAACAAAAAACATCCTGTGTGTTCCCATTTCCACCTGTTAACCGGATGTCCTTTTCAAGAAAATGTGTCATCTCAATATTTTCAATCAGTAAATATATTATGCAATTTGTTTCACGCACTACCCCTAGGGAGTATGGTAAGATTAGGCCTTGTGTTGTCTGGTTGATAAGGGAATGAGCTGCTTGTATATCAGTTTGACTCTTTTCTCGGTTCTAATTGATACTCTGTCTATTGAAATTAACAGCCAGGGGTTGTGGTACATCTCACTGTCACGGTTTGGCAGGTTTTGGCATATCTGATTTGACGTGACTTGGTAATTGGCCACTTGCTAACAGCATGATTAGATGATGGACAGCAACGTTTCCCTACGTTACGTCACAAACTATTGCATAATTCGGTTTGGACCAAGGTGAAAATAAGAGCAATTATCATAAACGTCAGTCGTATATCAGTATTATCATTCACGCTTCATCAACATGTAGGTCTACAGATCAAAGGGATGTTGAAAGAGTTTCTTTGTTGTAAATGATGGATTGTTGGGTAGCTTAGTTAGAGCAGGGAGACTATACAAAGACTATATAGACTCCCTGGATAGAGGTGTGCTCTCTCGCACAACCAGAGTTCGACAAATCCCAATTTATAAAATAGCAGGGTCACCTTACCGGTGATTGAGTGTTGACTATAGATTAACATCTAGTCTCTGAAATGAACACATCTTTCATAAAAAAAAACAGTTGTTCAGTTATCTTAATAAAAATATAATACAAAGGAGCCCAGTGACTCTCTTCATTTTCAGATACTGATACTGCAGTGATCTAGACTTGCCAAACATTATATTATAGACTTGCATGGGCTGTATTTGATATATATTTGTATCAGGGTGTGTAAGACAGACTATGGTGAATACTATTCGTAGAGGACGACGTGTCAAAGACAGTGGTACAAACCATACCTGTTGAATCGATAATAACGGGCGCTAAATATGATACATATATCATAAATAAAGACTGCATAGGTTTACGATGATCTGGGAGACCCGGAAACGGAAATTTACTTCGATTTTCGAATACACTTGTCACCACAACAAACATGAAATCTTCCTGAGAACCAACGCCTTTTTAAATAACTCTCCATATTCATAGATAATCTCTGCCCAATCTCTGTGTGTGTGTGTGTTTGTGTGGCTGCTTGTACTAGTCCGGATTGATGCCGATTTATAGTACTAGCTCAATGAAATACCATGCCGCAGTTTAACATGAATACCTCACTCAGACACAGTATACTGACTCCGAGCCGACCAGTCCTTGTTTTAGCCCCTTAATGCCGAGCGCCAGACAGGGTAACAACAAGTACCATCTTTTAACGTCTTTTGGTATGACGCGGCCGGGGTTCGAATCCCGGACCTTCCACTCTCCCACTAGACCACGGAGGCGGTCTACTATCAAATAGTAATGATATAAGGTGTTCGCGAAGAGGTGAGCGTATCCTGTCCCACCAATGGCACCCATCACAAACACACGCAAGACATATCAATTGCTCAGACACGGGAACATATGGTACAAGTCAAGGTAGGAATCGCATCGGACATTATTTTTATCACTGACGCGTCAGTTAAAATGGCCTCAATATGTTTACCATACAAAATGTTGTAGCCTTGATCAAACAACTCCTGAGTAAGAGTCATAAGACACCCTTGAAATATTCGTAGAAAGAGCTCGATTTTACAACAAAAGTAGTGAAATGTAGACACCAAAGGTTGGAGCTGCTGGAATATTGCTCGACATAAAGGGAAAGTTGACCATTGGAAAGTAGATGTCATCCCTCTTATCATACAGTCTGGTGGAGAGTATGTTGTCAATCTGAATCTTAATGTATATAAAACAGATGAAGCGATCTCACTGGTCTCCCTTATTTCTAGATCAGGTTGTTAAATCGGTGAAGGGAATTGGCTATTTGATGGTTTTTGAAAGATATCAGATCATCAATATACCTGAAGCTTAATCTAAACTTCTTGGCCAAATTGCCTTGTTTTGACTTTGCCAATCCGAGCCAAATCCATCATACCCGTGACATAAAATATAAAGTTGACCCTCACCAAACAGCAGGATATGTCTTCAGTTATCACTACAAAATGTATTCTACAATGCCAACATTCGTATGCTGCTTAATTTCAAATCCGTCACACTCATTTCAAGCATTAGGGTATTTCATACGCATCGGTATCACCAAAGACGTCCATATGTACGTCCGTGGTAACACCGGCCCTGAATGGCCAGCCGTTTTGAGCCATTTTTTTAGGGGAAATAATTCATTATAGATAGCTGTGTCCCTTAGTTTCCAGGATGGAAGTACGTGACTAATATCAAAATGACCCATTATCCTCTTGGTCTGTCATCTCATTCACATGGTACTCAAGGAGTGCAGTCAACGACATGGGTTATTGAAGCCCTCTGGACAAGATCAAAAGTGAAGTTGCCACAACCAGAAACAGGGCGCTATGAGAACCTACCAGTTGAAAAGATAATTGTGCTGCAATAATTGTATTAAAGATGAGCTTCACGTTTTACTCAACTGTCCTATGTATAAGAACTACTTTTGAACTTAGACTTTTTAGCAATATATTTTAAGGACAAATATGGTGTTCTGTCTGATGTACAAAAGTTCTGGCTTTGTTTATTTCCAACAGGGACAGAATCCTTTATCATGTAACTCGACGGCGGGCATTGTAATATACTTAATGCCTGTGCAAGTAAATTTTTGATGTTTTGATGTATATACAAAGTCCCCCGTAGTTCCACGGCTTGTCGATATTACCTGTGTTTGAAATGTATTAACTGTACTTATAGTGAGAAAATCTGTCTGTTTGTATAGCTTTGAACATTGAGCTGACACGTCTTGTTGTAACTAACATACAGTAAACTACGTTTATAACGAACACGCTTATAACGAACTGATCGATATAACGAACTTAGTTTTAGTCCCGGCCATTTGTTGTGTATATGCTGTATATATGCTTATAACGAACTACGGTTATAACGAACTAAAAATAGTGGTCCCTTTGAGTTCGTTATAACCGTAGTTTACTGTACTGGTAAAAGCTGCGTCACATCCACTCCATCTTTCGTGATGACTTTCTGACACCAAATTTTAACGGCTTTAAAATAAGTAATCTCTATATATTACAGTCCCAATATTGGTCAGATAATCAGATTATTAACAAAAATTATCAACTTGATTGAGAACTAGAGGATACAAATCTGTTATATTCCTCAGGTTTCGTTATCGCACACTAAGACATGAGAAAACAGACACCAAAGTCCGAAAGCCATTAGTACTATTGTTAGCATTGTGAAACAGACATGCTCGACTTATAAATCAAGACTCTCGGAACACCAAATATGTTGTAAACTTTTATTTGGAAGTACTGCCATTAAAGTAAACCAGCACCTCATGGCGGTAACATGTGGCGGGGTGGGTGATTGCAGCAAACACTTGGGGAGGAATGTTCATAGCACCGTTCATCAATAAATAGAGTTCAATACGTCATCATGTCATGACGCTTCTACCGAACATTGTCTCATGAAATGATTGATATTGTCCTGAGTAAGGTACACTGTAACCATAGTGATACATTGCACCCATAGATTGAGGAGCTTTACAGCGTCGCTTCACAGAATCAGATTCAATTTCATCATTGCTCCGTTTTCGTTTGGAACAAGCGTTGGTCTTAACACATGACAAAGCAGAGAGATTACGAACATAATCCGGGATGTGAGTTAATCCGTCTCTTGAAGGAAACACGCGAGTATTGTACTCCCAATGCCTGGTGCCATCCACGCCATTGTGCATGTGCAAGGGTTGTGCATTGTCCAGGTACGTTGGTGGCCGACACGGTCCGTTTGCCAGATAAGAGGGACAATGAGGTATCCGGCTGGCTGTGTAGTCACAAGAACTGGTTGAACTCATATTAGTGTCCACAAGCTTGTCAAGTAATCCGTTAGGACAGGAATCTGTAATATAAACAATTTCATTAAAAGAAATAATATAACTATTTGAATATATTACAATTTTTAAAAAAATTCACACCACACCTTCAGTCGCTTTCATAAGCAGGTTTTTTTTACAATGGTTTAAACACTAGCTCATTTAGTCGAAAGCCTACAATGGAAACTGCTCTTAAAGATTTCGTATGAATATGGATACAGTTTTTTGCTTTAACTGAGAATTAGTATTAACTAAATATATTCTATGAAGAGTCTACTGCAGCGGAGCCCTATAGAATGAATTCCTATGAGCGGATATAAGGTGTATATTATGTTAAATAATAAAAATTGAACACATGTCACAGATTCAATGGTCACTACTTCAACAAAGGACGCTTTTTACCGATATATTTCTATAAAAGAGTTAAAGTTAGTTTAAAATAGGTTACCTATCATGTCAAGTACGTCTTCTAGGAGATTTTGTGGTGAAGATTCTTCTGCCGCATGAAACATCTTGTCGCTTGAGGTATTGTTCAGGATGCTTGGAACATTATTCATAGGCACAAATCTGCATTGGGTTTGTGTTAGAGGGTGGTTTCTGCAAGGCTGGGAACTATATCTGGTGTTGCTTGCCGCCGGTAGGGTTCCACTGTAGTCTGGACAACTCCATGGGTTCTCTTGGGATACAATTAGAAGAGCCGGCTCGTACATTTGTTGTGGGTCATCCAGACCTGGAAACTTTGTCATATCCAGATTGTAGGTGATGTCGGTTTCGATGAACAGAGGCTGTTGCAGTCGCAGGGGCACAGGAACACCAACCTCCATTTCAGTATATCTCCTCATGCTTGTGGATGTGGAATGGACAATGATATCATAACATGTTTCAGCTGTACATCATCTTCGCTGGACCAATCAAGTTACACGCCTGTACCTTCACCATCAGGGCTAAGCCAATCAGAACAGATGTCTCATTGAGTAGCGGGCTGGAGTGAGTTATGATAACAAATTACGTCAGTTAGGTGCACGCTAATGCTGCTATTTACGGCTGAATTGTAACATGTGGCGGGGATTAGTCACGGGTGGATTGAGTGTAGATAGACAGCGGTGGACAAGCCCCCTTCATTCACCTGCACTTAACCCTCATCAGTTTAATCGCCATGTCTACACAACTCCTCCCGCGGCACACTAAGGGACATTATGCAAATGTTTTTGTTCGATGGGCAAGAACTGTAATCCGTGATGTAATTTAATGGGTGGTGTATACTACTTCAAGGGGCAATAAATGGATCCGTGTTGTTATTTTGAGCAATATTCCCTTCTTGTCTGAACAATGTACGCTTGTAAATTATCCCAATAATGTATTCTTAACATGATATTATGTATTTATTATTCATACCAAATGCATCAAGTGTACTTTCATCTCGATAGGATAATGTGAAGTGCAGCACTAAATCGTTTAATATATATGAGGCAGTACATTTAGATGTAGATTGTTTTGAATATGTATGAATGAAGACGTGCAGTTTTATCAACGCATAAAGGAATATTCGATCTTTTCGTCTCAAACTCTTTTCTATAATGGTATTATGGAAGACCCAAACTTAAACTCGGACGCTGGATCCCAGTTTGATGAACGCTCCGACAACTTGTGAAATGTCGAGACGGAGCCAAGCTTAAACGATTTCCCGCTTTCCCAATACTCAACATTATTGATTTACTGCTGACTATAATACACTAGCACATGTTTCGTATTGATTCTTAGAAACGTTAGTTCAGTGAGCCACTAGAACAAGAACTGACACGATGGAAGGTAACGGGCAAAACTCCATAAACTATTTTGTATCACCACGGCCCGTTATACTTCGATAACTACTGTCACATGTCTACACACAATTCTTTTTCATGCTACCATGGACTTTCATGTAATAAATTCGCACAAATATATAAGAAGATATCAATAGAAAATTACATTGTCCAATGCATGTGTCCACTGGAGTACATCGAAAAAAATAAATATTATTGTAGTTATGTTTATGTGGGAATTATGAAAAAGTGATATAGATAATACAGACGGTTTAGGTCGAGTGAAATTCAAATGAGATTTATCTATTGTAATATTCTGATCGTTGTCAAAGCAAACTGGATACGAGCACTGGAAGTTAGTGAAATGTGAATCATTTGACAACGCTGTTGCTATCATCACTTCATTTAGACTTAAAAAGGTGGTATATATGTATTTGTTCTATAATGTATTTGATAGAATTTACATTGTAAGTGTCCTTTCATTTGTATAAATATATTCCAATATTAAACGTAGAATGTTGCCACTGTAATATATTTTACTAATCACAATTGCAAAACATACCAACAAACATCTGCCCGCCATACATAAAACAAATTAATTTATGAGTTTATGATGTAGCACTGCATGATGGATCATATGTTTAAGGATGTGACATTAAATATATACATCATTGTCATTGTTGTCATTGTATGTCATTGTTTTGTCGAAAATATATACAGAAGAAGAACATTTTTTTGTGTCACACATCATATGTTACATTATCATGATCATTTTAAAATACAATAAATAAAAATATTTTTTTCAGTGCGCTTAGCGTGTTGATGAAGGGAAGACAAACTGAAAAGGATCAACCACTAGTTTTTGATTTGATACCCTCTCGCATGCAGATATTTAGCATTGGATTGTCATACTTTTCTGTCGTACTGCTACCTCTTGTAGGAAAGGGTCGATGAGGGAGTCTTGTGCTTGAAGCGCGAACTCGTCACGCCGAAGACCCGGGTTCGATTCCACACATCGGTACAATGCGTGAGGCCCATTTCTGGTATCACCGCCTTCATAATGCTGGAATATTTGTAAAAGCGGCATAAAACGACACTCACTCACTTCTTGTAAGAAGCCTGCAAACTTCGACCAATTGAACGCATATACATGGTGTCCAGCCCATGTTTCAAACCTCAGCTGCATTCCATGCATCTTAACAACACCAGAAAAATACTTGAGGGTGTGAATCTTTACCGCGTATAGGAAGCAAAATTTAATAAATCTCAGTTCATCTTAAAGGGGAAGTGTACACGCAAAAATCACTTTCTTTCTTTTTCTAAACAAAACGCAATTTTAGAATGAATTAGTATCTGTGTTTGAAAATATACACTCATTTTTTTTCACAGTGAAAGTAGGAAGCTCACAATAGTGTTAAAATGATATGCCGTTATGAGGCCTTCGTTTTACGAGCGAAACAGGCCTGAGTTATCCCCCTTTGATTATGACGTAATTGGTGCCAATTCAACTGGGTCCCTGTCTATTCTCAACGCAAAAGATATCAAGGACCAGTTTGCGGTAAAACAACATGGTCTACGACACACTCCGGCGCAGTAGTGACTCAGCATAACACAATTCTGGCTGGCATCTGAGATGCTAGAATCACAAAACTGTACCTACACCACGTGAAGCGGCTCTAACAAAGCATGATGACGTCATAATGTTTATCAATTGGCACCAATGACGTCATATTGCAAGGGGCATAAGCCATGGTGTTTTTGTGATGGAAATAGAACACTTGGTAAATGTGAAAAATATAAATCGTTTTATTGCAAAAAATATGTTAATTAAATATGATGTTTTTATATTTTTGTCTATGACACTTCTATGTTAACACTTTTAATGTGGAAAAAGTACAAGAAAAATTGGTTCATTTCCGTGTGAACTTGCCCTTTAAGTAAGGATAAGATGTAGGGATGAACAACGTTTTTACTGCAATTAGGAACAACGTTTCGATGAAGGTTCTAACACAGTTATCAAGCAAGTAACCTACACCGAGACATCGCCCTCTAATTGTTATAAACAAGTTGTTCAAACATATATCTTATCCCATACTAAGTACTCAACTTCTAAATGCCTCTCAAGAAGGAACAAATGTAAGTCAAATCATCCTGACAATCCCAAGAGGCGACGGGGAAGTCTTGATATCAAAACTGACACTCCTGTCACCGAAGACTATGTGTGAAGCCTATTGCTGTCGTCTTCCTTCATGTTATTGTTAGACAAAAAGGGACCGTTTCCAAAATCATAAGAAATCATTGTCCGCATTTCCATTATATCATGAACAGGTGTAAATGAATCACAATCAAATTTTAATGATACCAGGTGTTCGTGAAAAGGTGAGCATTTCCTGCCTCACCGAGTGCTCCCGTCACAAACACATGCGAAGACAAGTCAATTGTACCATGGGACACATGTACCACATGTCAAAACAAGGAATTGCATCGGCCATAATTTTTATCACTGACGCGTCAAATTTGGAAACGTCCTCCATATGTCTGCCATAAAACTCTTTGACAGCTTTACTGAGGCCTTGAATGTTTGAAATCTCGGAGTATTGCATTGGACAAAACTTTTGTCAGTCATGCTTCAAATTATGAAATGCCCATACGTATCTACCATAAAACTGCTTTGATGGCTTGAACGTTGTATCCGTGATCAAACAACTTTTGTGTGAGAGTGGCCCCACGATATGACGCTCTTTCAAATCTTCGTAAAAAAACATTCTCAATTGAACCTAACAAAATGTGAGATGTAGACACCAAAGGCTTGATCTGCTGGAATATGATCGACATAAAGGGATAGGGTTATTGGAAACTTGAAGTCAACCCCCTTGTCTTACAGCCGTGTGGAGAAATGTTTGTCACTCTGAATCTAAATGCACAGATCTGTATATGAGGAAGATGAGGCGGTATCACTGGCCTCTTTTATTTCGAGCTCAGGTGGGTAAATCAGTAGAAGGCAATTGGCTATTGGACCATTTATGAACGATATAGGATTATGGATATAGCTGAAGCTTAAAGTTAAACTTCTTGGCCAAATTAATTTTTTTTATTTTGCCCATCCTAGCAGAAATTCTTATTCATAAGTAGAAATAGATCAGCAAGAGTACGGGTCTTCCGGAAGCGCTCGTTAAATCTCCAACATCATCATCAACAAAAAGTGAAGCACAATTGGTGCCCTGGGGATGCCTATCTCTGGTCTAAATGTCTCATCCCTTTCATATAGATGGTATCAATGAGGAAGTCCAGGACTCACTCCCCCATGACAAATACTATTTACACGTAATGAAGAGGAACCGCCCTTTATCCTGGTGAATATGGTACATATATTTCTTTATATCACATAAATGTGTGTGTGTGTGTGTGTGTGAGAGAGAGAGAGAGAGAGAGAGAGAGAGAGAGAGAGAGAGAGAGAGAGAGAGAGAGAGAGAGAGAGAGAGAGGGTGAATAAAACCGACTCAGTAACATATTTAATACAAATACGAACCAGCGCACACAGGGATACAAAATTTCTCAGCAATGTGGAGGGGAATTTGCAAAGGGATGTGTATTCCATATTGTAATTGTGGTCCGACAATACAGCTTAATGCCAATCGTTTTATATCAATGCTCACAACAGTTCGTATTTGTTTATGACGGGTTTTCGTTAAATGTTACGCGTGTTTCGTGTGTTCTTCGGTGTGTGCTCGTAAGGAAAACAATCTGCACAAAGTGAACTTATTGTACTTGTATTAAGTGAATAAGGAAACGTACAACTTTATGGATAACATCTTCTGGTTTATTGCATATAGCGACGGTTGTATGTAGATCACGCTAGAACTAGAATGCCAATCAAACAGCATTAAGTGTACCGCTGGTAAGTCTTTTGTGTGGCATCACATTTTGGTGCATGTTTGAGATAGGTAACCCTAAATACATGTCAGTCTAAACTGTTAATTTTAAATGTTCTCTGTGAACGATCCTTTTAACATTTCGACATGAGCAGGTTGATTTTCTTTGGATGGTGTTGAAGGAAGAACACTATATGTTTAACAAAATCATCTTGGATCAGAGACATGTTAATAGTTATGTTATCTGTTCTTTAAGTTCGGAATGAAGATTTTTCACCCACTTTATTCAAACCAATATGCTCATGCCTCTGTTACTCTGAACATGTTACATATTGTTTATAACAAGAAATATAGTTTCTTGTAACTTTATATTTGACATTTCCAGTTGAACAAATAAGTCCCTCGTCCTTTGATTGCATCTAAGACTACCGACAATGAGATATAGTGTGTTGCGATGGAAATTAAAATGTCAAAGTACCGTCCTCATATATAATCCCTGATATAACTGCACTTATCACAAAGCCCCACTGATATACCTTCTTATCAAAGTAATAAACACACTTTGTCAGCACATAGTTACAAAGTAAATATGTCGGTAAATTCTTTACATAAGTATATGATCTTTATATGAACCCGTTATGCAATATCTTACCACAACCTTTCTACTTCTCGCAGGGAGCTGCCTGATGGGGGTTCTCGCGGAGGTCGTCCGATAAGTGGCATTGTTAACACAGGGAATGTGCACTGCTACATAGACCAATCCCACCATCTAATTGTATTCAGCCCCTGGGTGTATTTCAAGTTTATGTCACGGTTTGGCAGATTACCTGATAACTGATTTGACAGGAGTTGATAATTACCGACTTCCTAAGCCCTTGATTTGAAGATATTTAATCGTACTTGTAAACATTGCATCACGTATTGTTAAAGCATTCTCTGCAGAGACGTGGGAATATCGCTGACAAAGATGAGAGCTTCCTGTTATCATAGGTGGTTTTGCAGATTTGGTCTTTCCTTATATATGTTGGAGTGAATACATCTTGAATGGTTTGCATAACAACAGCTGTCCAAGTTAACATAATACATAAGGAAGTAGTAAAACATTGTTTTGGATATTTGTTAAAGCATGGTAACATAATACATGACCTTAGTTAGTTAGTTTGTTTGTTTGTTTGTTTGTTATTTAACGCCACACTCAGCAATATTCCGAAATACGCATCAGTCGGAAAGCGCACGTTAAATCTCCAAAGTAAGTAAGTAAGTAAGTAATATTCCAGCTATATGACGGCGGTCTGTAAATAATCGAGTCTGGACCAGACAATCCAGTGATTGACATCATGAGCATCCATCCGCGCAATTGGGATCGATGACATGACCTTAGTGGTTCATCTCTCCACTGTTGCTGATATATAGGTATGACATGGACATTAATACATAAAATAAAAATAAAAAACTACCCACACACAACTAAGGTTATTTCAAAAGAAACTAAAAACATGATATCTGTCCTTCAGTTGATTTTTATTGTTCGTACTTAGACGAAACCATTTTGTTGCTTCGGGGGATGGAACCCGTACATCCATAAAATAGAAATGTAAGTCATCCTGTTACCAAGCAAATGAGTAAAATATACTTTATATGTATATATTCATGTAATGTTGAATGATCCATAACATATCTGTATGAACACACTGTTACCTCTTCATATAGTGAATTGGTGCAGAAAAAAACAATACGGTAAAATACATTTGGCATCCGGGAATGTTCATAGCACCTTTAAGAAAATTATTTCTCATATAAGTATAATGATATAAATTAAATATAAAATTGTAAGATAATGCCTTTACGTCACAACACGTCTTGTAAACGGTGGCACTTGCTGATATCCAAGATACGATCCATGGTAACCATAGTAACGACCAATATCGAAAGTATCGAGTCCTTTACATTGTCGCTTTTGTATGTCAGATTCAAACCCGTCATGTGTTCGCTTCCTCTTGTAAGATACACTATCTTTGACAGCTGACAAGGACTGCAGATTACGCACACAGTCAGAAATCCGACGTAATCCAGTATCACCTGTTGGACATGAAGGTGTGTTGTTCTGGACGTGTCTCGCGCCATGGAAGAATCTGTAATGTATGTGTCCATTCTGCTGGTAATTCCTTGATAACAGAGGTGGGTGTGACAGATCAGAGTGACACAGACGAGGTGTATTCGTGTTTGGTACTATCGTATTGCTTGAAGTTGTACTCTCTGGAATCTTCATTAATCGTTCAAGTAATCCGTCCGCGCAGGTATCTGAAGAAAAGGAATAATTAATTCGATTTAGTGATAATGTAAAGCACATACCAGCAAGAAAATCGACATTATAAACGTTTTTTATCCTGACGTCGTTAATTATTTTTTATACTGATCAAACTTATCAACAGCAGCATCAGAAATTGATAAGGAAGGAGTCATCAGTAGTCAACAATAAACGACCCGTGAAGATTCCGGGGTAGAATAGGTCTTCAGCAACCCATGCTTGCCGTATAGGTGACTATGCGTGTCGTAAAAGGCGACTAACGGGATCGGGTGGTCAGGCTCGCTGACTTGGTTGATGCATGTCATCGATCCCAATTGCGTGGATCGATGCTCATGATATTAATCACTGGATTGTCTGGTCCAGACATGATTATTTACAGACCGCCGTCATATAGCTGGAATATTGCTGAGTGCGGCGTTAAACAACAACCCAACCAACCAACCAATCAACAATAAACGAAATATTTACCTATCACATTGAGAATATCCTCCAAGATATGTCCACAAGATGCATCAGAATGATTGCTAATGTTGTTGTCGGGAAACTTGGAAGGTGTATACACGTGCCTTGGATACTGCACACAACAGGAGGACATGGCATTGTCAACATCTGTAACTTCACTGGGCGGAATGGTATATGCACAATGATAGAAATAGTTTGAAACTGTGTCCGGTGTGGCGATCAACAATGCTGGCTGCTGAAGGTGGGAGGGGTCGTCCAGGCCAGGGAACTTGGACATATCCAAACTGTAGTTAATGTCCGTGTCGATGTAGAGCGGCTGTTTTAGTTGCGGAGACACTGTAGCAGCTGGATGTAACATGGTGAAGCAGATCTACAATATACTTCTCTGCTCGAAGGCACACTTGCTATGAATGAACTGAGCTGTTGAGTTGTCATATGTGCCCAGTCCATCAACCCTTGATTAGTCTGTTTCTCTGGTGTGCTACCTGTTTATGGAGCTAAGCCGGTTTAAATATGTAATTTAAATTTGAGCTGGCAACATGTGCTTCCTATTAGTCACGGTTGGTTTCTTAGGCATATCGCCATCTTTTGACAGACGCCGTGTGGTGTTTACAGTGGTCTCTCATCAGTGACTTCCCAATCACCCTGTCTACACATTCTCAGCGGGGTTCACGCGGAGACAGGTCATTACACAAATGTTGTTACAGGCAGTGAAATTAATTCACCTTCGTGACGTAATATAATGGATGGGTTGTACTACTTAACCGAATTCATAATTGGCAATCTGAAGTTTATGGTAAGCTAACTATGTTTATATAGTGTCAAATATATTCTGTGGGTAATTTCATAGAGGCCAAAATGTGTGAAAATATTTCTTTACGTTGTTCTTGTGTTTATCTTGGCACATGTACCATAAGATGTATGTATTGGTTCCAAAAAATGCAGTATTAGTTTTTTTGAAACAGAAATACATATGTATTAATTCTTATCGGAAATAATTATATATGTACAACAAAATAATTGAAGATTGCCACATATAAGTTAACGTGCTATATGCATGCAAAAACCTTGCTTTCAACAATATTTATGTACACCGTGTCCAGATTAGTTTCTCTCCGAAATTATATTCTCAAGTGCCATGTTATGTACTTTACATTTAAACTGCGCATAGAATAATACACACAAAGAATACTCGTTTTAAATTTCCATAACAAAATATTTATCATGAAAACATACATCTTTGATTTGAATGTATATTTGCATGATAAGAGACATTAATAATTCGGAAACCTGCTTACAGCCGTACATCAGATACAGTACAATATATAATACACGAGGCAAAAACGTTGTTTAAGTTAATAATAATATTGTGGCGTTGGAAGTAATATCCGTGTAAAAAATGAAATCTCTCATGTTTGAAATAAGGGCACAGGAACAAACATAGATTTTGATCTCCAAGATAAGAGTTGCATACATGACATTTTGTCATTGACAAGTTTATTGAACAACCTCCTAACTTCAATGGTTAATGAATGATTCGAAGCATGGAATTTTAAAAAAGGATAGCGAGGGAAAATAATCTGAAGTAAATATTATTTTAACAAAAGTTTGATTTGATGCAACTATAATATCTACCTTTTGATGATAAGAGCATGGAGATTGGCCACATCTTGGAGGATCCTTTAGCATCAACCATTGCCTAGAGAATATACAGGTTATTCCAACCACAACTATCCAAAATATGTTTGTTACATAAAAAAACACGGGAGACAATATACTCTGTCAATAAATGTCCTTTATAAACCTTTGTATGTAATAACTGAAAACCTATTTTCTTTTTGTTTTGGAAACATCAATTTAAACCAAAAGCCTAACGTCCTTTTCTTAAACAAAACATCTCAGGCACACGATCTGTTTCTCAATAAAGCATGTGCTCCTTCGTAATTTGAGGCTTAATGTTAAAAATAACTTAAGTCATTCTAAACCCTAGATTTCACGACGCTACAAGGGGACTGGAGAAATCATATGATCAAAGGCGATAAATAGATAAAAATGACAAAAGAAAAAATTCCATGATCATACGAAAACACTACTAAAAGCATAGTTTGGTCTACAATTCCGACTATATCTTAAGCATGTGTTTATGAATCATTATGAAATAGTCATGATACCAGGTGTTCGCGAAAAAAATCTTGTTCAACTGGTAGTACCCTATACAAACACATGTAAAGGCAAATCAGTTGTTAACCTGTAAGATCACAGGAACATATGATTCAAGTCAAATTTTGAAATGTCATCCACATTGGTTGGGAGGTTCAAAATTCTAGTTCCAGATAACGGCAAATACACTGCGTTTAATCCTTGCTCCTTTGACATGTAACAGACTCATTAGTTTTTCTAATTATATGATATTTAACACCCAAACATGTATCCTTATAATAAATATATGGAATATTACCGCTGATTGTAAATACATAATTCATACTTCGAACATCACACCAAATATGACAGCCTTTGTTGTAAATGTTAATTATAGGCTTCCTGGTGACACAGACAGGCAGACAATAGTTTATTAATGTCTCACTTCTGTACATACATAAAACAGCTTGGTACAACTTGACAAAGATAGAATGTACAGAACCATTCAAAAGAATTATGAGTGACAAATTATCATAAAATTTATACACAAATGATATAAAGATGATATAGTAAAACGTTGTCCATATATAAGATGCCTTCTACGATTAAGAATTAAAAAGCAGACTTTGGCAAGTATAAAACACACACTGGAGTCACTGAAAATTAAACAAAGTTTGTCGATATCAGGTTTATCTAAAACTTTATAAGATTTAACAATACATACATTAAAAAGAGTTGCCCTGATATCGTCACATAATACGCAGTGAAACAAAACATGGACATCGTCTTCTACGCTGACATTACAGTGAAAACATTTTCTATCGTGGACAGGTATACCTTCGTGTATTCATTCATACACCATTGTTCCACAACATTGTTGTTGACACAAGATTCATCAAATATCTCTACACAATACTGTTAGTCTTCCCTTTGTGATGCATTCTTTGTCTGTTGAAGTAAGAACCACGGATGATAAAGAGTAAAACGTGACGGATGTGTATTATATAATTGATCTGTTCAAACGATAAACTAAGTATGAAGACCTGTGTTTCATTTGAACACAAATACTTGTATTTCTTTTCTGAAATGTACTAGGGGCTTGGTTAATCTCCATCAGTTAACTGTCTCTCATTTCAATGTTACTCATTGTTATGTCACGAACGTACCACAACTATTCTGTTTATGGTTATATACGCGTGACTGGTATGGCTATTTAGGCGGGGAAAGAAATAACACATGCAAATGCTAAACATTCGATTACAACTTCAGACTATTTTACATTTTCATATGTATAATATGATGGATATCTGACAAATGAACCATTACATGTGAAGTTCCTCAGTTACATTTATTATTAAACATTGGGCGCGTAGAGCATTTCACGCTTCATATCACTTTCATCAGCTGTTGTTCATGCATCAAATGAACTACATGTATTCAGAATGCAACACATGAGAACGAAAATTAATATGAAAGATTGGGGTAACAAATGAAGAATCAGTGACAATATGTGTCTCATTCATTTATTAATTTAGGTAATTGTAGAAAAATATTTATCTGTACCTGCATATTTATGTACGTTTGATGTTTCTTCCAGCAAATTATTGGTTTTGCTACAGAAATAAATACCAATTTGACAAAATAACAAAAGCAGACAAGCTATGCTTTGTCTCAATTGCAATACATGCACAGGGACACTGGTAACAGGTATGTTTTATAGGAGAAGATTAGTGTTTAATTTACATAAACATGCACGTATTAACTCCACTCACTTTTGCAATATTGAACTTCAGTGTAAATTTAATAATTTATCACCCCTCTTTATCATCTGGTATGAAATAATGCAACATGTGACTATTATTTTTAATAATATTTTAATAATAGTTACAAGACCTTTCCATGATAGTGAGAAATCTCTGCTAAAAGCAGAGTTGGTTCTACGATTATGACTATATCAAGCATGTGTTATTGAATCACTATCAAAAAGTGATGATACCAGGTGTTTACGAAAAGGTAACGTATCACGCCCCACCGACGTACTTTGGTATTTTTGAAGAAAGAACATGCTCGGTTTTGTAATATTACTTGACATAAAAGGGACATAGAACGCACCATTCTTGTCGCACAGTCGTGTGAGTATTTTTGTCGCATTGATCTAAATATGAAACAGATACGGCGATTTCACTGGTCTCATATTTCAAGATCAGGGAAACGTCTACTTGACATTTAATGAACGATATCCGGTCATCGACATACCTGAAGCTTAAGCTGTAGTATTGATTTTGCTATTCTGACTTATAAAGAGTCAGGTCGGCAAGGAGGGCAGCACCATTGGTTCCCATGGAGTTGGCTACTTCGTGTCGAAATTTTATGTCCCCAAATTTCATAAAGATGTTATCTTTGAGGAAGTCCACCATTTCACATATTGTTTTCTCAGTAGACTTCAGATCACATTTGCTTTCATATTTGACAAATTGTCCTCAACCTGAAATTAGATATGAAATTGCGGTTAATTCCATTTGTCTCATATACTTTCTGTGAATATAAAGACAGTCCTTTGGTGATAGTATGAAGGATTATAGTTAATGTTTGAGACAAGAATTTTGTTGGTATATTTTCAGGACGCAGCAACATCTCTTTGGAATCTAGCACAAAAAGGATTGGATGTGTTTTCAGGTTTTCGAGTCCAAATGTTTGTAGTAGTGATGCGTGATTTGGCAGATTTCTTCCCTAGTGAACATACTTGCCTTATATGTGACAAATATTGTATGTGTTACTTGTACCAAGTTCTTTGATCAAATAATTGAGTTCTTATCATATATAAAACTGAGGTACAGCTCTGTTCCAAAAGTAACTTTAAACATTGAATATGTTAATGTTTCGGTGCCGCTATGCCAATCATGTTCATATATATATACTTTAGGCGTGAAATGAATTCTGATAAAAAGATTTTGAATGGCGAATATGCTGCTGTTGCCTGATATGGGTTTTTTTGTTGTTGTTGTTTAACGACGCACTCAACAATATTCCAGCTATATAAAGGCGGTCTGTAAATACTCAAGTCTTGACCAGACAATCCAGTGATTTATATCATGAGCATCGATCCACGCAATTAGGATACGACGATATACATCAACCAAGTCACCGAGCCTGACCACCCGATCCCTTTGGTCGCCTCTTGCGACAAGCATAGTCGCCTTTTGTCCGAAGCTAAATCTAATCAGGGTATATTAGAATTTGCAAGTTTGTCGAGTGGGATTGTTGAACAATTTATTTGATATGTCATTTATACCAAGGTTGTTGTTTTTTA